ACCTCAGACCACCTCAGACCACCTCAGGTCACCTCAGACCATCTCAGACGACCTCAGGTCACCTCAGACCACCTTAGGTCACCTCAGACCACCTCAGGTCACCTCAGACCACCTCAGACCACCTCAGGTCACCTCAGACCACCTCAGGTCTCCTCAGACCACCTCAGACCACCTCAAACCACTTCAGGTCACCTCAGACCACCTCAGACCACCTCAGGTCTCCTCAGACCATCTCAGACCACCTCAGGTCTCCTCAGACCACCTCAGGTCTCCTCAGACCATCTCAGACCACCTCAGGTCTCCTCAGACCACCTCAGGTCTCCTCAGACCACCTCAGGCCATGCAGGAGAACGACAGTCGGTCTGATTGATGTGTTTCAGGTTCCTGGAGAGCAGGGATCCAGATGATATCTGGCTCATTGAGGTACATAAAGTTCTATAGTCTCTGAGGTTTCTGGGTCAGAACCGGACTCATCTGGATCCATCCTTTCCCCTTAGTTCTACACCCCCTGGTGTTCCTTCTGCAGACATCTGGATCCTGTTTGGCATCAGATCGGATCAGAACTCAGGAGTTTTGGGTCTCCTGTTCGAGTTGGCAAATCAGATGCTACCGTCAGCACCGGTCTGTTTCCTTCAAAATAAAATGTCACCCTTCCAAAATAAAAGTACTGTAGCTAAAGCTGATATTTGATTTGTTTCTGCAGCTTTGGCCAAAGAGTTTCGAGTCAGGAATTATCCTGCCATCCTCATGTGAGTGTTGATGTTCTACCTGAACTCACCTGGAGGCCTGCAGATGTTAGCAGCTGTTCTCTGCCTGCAGGTTCAAGAACCAGGTGAAGTACAACTATGCAGGATCCAGAACCAAAGATGGAATCATGGCATTCTCTGACCGGGTTTCAGGGTGAGTTCATCACAAAGCTTCGGTCACATCCAGGGGAAACGCTCTCTTCACCTGAGTGTGTTGTTTCTCAGGCCGCTGGTTCGATCCCTGAGCAGTGTGCAGCTTTTCCAACACACCATGAACCGCCATGATGTCATGTTTGTTTATGTTGGGGCAAAGTCTGAGCTCAAGGTGCTAATATCACACATTTATGTCATAAACAAACACAAACAGCTGATCAGCTGATCTGTTTCCAGGGAAACTACACAACAGCAGCTGAGGAACTCATCGTCCACACCTTCTTCTTCTCTGCCACCAGAGACGTCCTGCCCAAGGTTTGTGTTGTGTTAAACACTGTGGGTAGTTTATGTTTTAGTTTGTCCATCCATCCATGCATCCATCCATCCATCCATCCATGCATCCATCCATCCATCCATCCATCCATGCATCCATCCATCCGTCCATCCATCCATGCATCCATCCATCCATCCATCCATCCATCCATCCATCCATCCATCCATCCATCCATCCATCCGTCCATCCATCCTTCCATTTAGCCATCCATCCGTCCATCCATCCATCCATCCATCCATCCATCCATCCATCCATCCATCCATCCATCCAT